TCATTCCTCTGTAGACATTTGTAATGCTATTGGATCTGCGCAATGCCACGCTAGCATGCCATTAAACCAAGCGCGCAAACTGGTTGCGAGCGCCGCGCAGTGTCATATTGAAGAAGCTTAGCAGCATAATGCAGCAGAGTTTTCCCTGCGGAGCCATCTTCACGCTTTTTTTTGGAGGCATCCCTGCAGGGGTAGGCTTAGTAGCTTGCATCCGGCCTTCCTCATGAGATCCTTCATCCCCGACTCACGGCCCTGAATGTAACATCTGCGCTTATAGAGCATCCCTGACCAAAGCATGACATGTTCCATGTGTTGCCGCCATGCCCATGCCTACAGCTGATGATTTCCCATGCACGAGCGCGTCCATACTGACATTTGTTCAGGCCCTTTATTTCCCCAGTGCTCTTGTCATGATCAAGGTCCAACCCGAACTTGCCTCAACCAGCAAAGCTCCGCCGAATGGAAGCTCCAGATTTGTTGTGAAGATTGTGGGAGATCAAACCCTGTCGTGATTTGCATGGGCCTGGCACGCTGGTTTCCGAGGTGGCAGACTCGGATCCCGCACACACAAATTGTACAATAAAGAAAAACAAGTAAGCATACCTCGCAATTTACCACCTCCTCAGCGTTTCAGCCTCCTCGAAAGGCGCGGCAGGCAAAACTCCGTCGTTCATGGCACATTCCCGCCGATGCCGATATTCAGCTCACAACCAGCCGGCCTTGTCCCAGTTCTTGTTTTTTTTTTTGCTTTCCCAGGCACAATCTCAAGGGCATGTAGCGTGGAGGAAGGTGTTGTGCCGGGACATGTTTTTCAGTTTTTGAGACTTGCAAGAGGACTTTTACATCAGGCCGGAAGGCCGGACTTGTTCTTGATTTTGATGTTGGTGGTGGTAATTGCTTCTATTGCAGCTTCTGCTGCAATTTGCCATCGCGGAGCTGCAGAGCAGCGGACTTGTGATGTTGCACACGGTCGCAAGAATGAGCACTTGATAATGATAGCAGTACTGATGGTTACAAGATCTCCGCATCTCATAACCTGCAAATGATCTCGGCACATGAAATCTTACACATGTTTGTGCATCCCCATTATACGCATATATGTTGTGGTTCCCGAAAAAAGTTGCAGGCATGAGCTTGGCAATGGGGAAACATGATTGCTTGAAGTGGTGTTTGTGGGCTTTGCGCGATGTCCCTGTCAAACATTTCTTTGCAATTGAATCAAATCTCTGCACTTATCCCGGTAAATTTCCTGAGTATGAACATGTCAGTTTAGTTGCATGGCGAACTCCACAGCATAGATTTGGCATCCTCACGTGATTTGGTGTGTGTGGTGCCGGGACTCTTTTTTTTTTTTTTTTGCTCGGCATCTTTGATCTCCGTGGCATAAGTTTCTCAAACATGTTGTTTTGCAAAGCATCTCTGGGTGCAGCAAGCGTTGATGGGTTCGGGCCATGTCTTCCAGGGTGCAAGAGCTTCTTTTTGACGGGATTTCTGTTCAGGGCACACCCCTACCCCAATTATGTCTTAAATCGTCAGGATCAGAAATTTGTCGGAGCCGCGCTTGCGACCTTGCAAAGAGACAGTACCGGGTAAATCAGCATCCCCAAAAGCCCCGCGAATGTTCCCAGACGAGTTTAGAACCATTCCGAATTATCTATAAACAAGGGGTTCATGTACTGCCCACCGAGCATTTCTGGAGTATATGTCAGTATATGTATCGCTTCCGCTTCAAATACGTATCCCTAGAGTTCCCGGAACGCTCAACACATCGCGGGCCAACGAATCTCGAAAGCAGTGTCCATGATGTGTCCACGCTGATTTTCCACATCATTCAACCATTATTCAACCCCAAGATCCAAATCGGTTTTTGGTCGGAGTTCCACCCAAAGCCCTGCATGAAACTCTGGCTCCTAGCTGGTCTTGAAGCGTTGCCTCTCAAACCTGGACGTCTTTCGTCTGACGAAAGCCAAGAACATTCTGAAAGCAAGGCTGCTCAAATTCAAAATCGCCAGGAGATGGGATCGGGCGCCCAAGACAGCGATGAGATCCTGAATGTCAGCAGTTGGGGAGCTGCTCCTCGGTTATCCCGTGAATCATTTCAAGTAATTGTTGGCTGGTTATGAGCAATGAAAAAAGGGTTCTCAAGAAGACAAAGCAGGTAACGCAAGCTTCTTTGCAGCAGCTTGCTTGATTCCACACTTAATTCCGCCTCAGAAGTCATGTGCCCATCGGTCGACTGCAAGTATTCCTCGCCTCGTATTCACTGGCATGCATGTGTTTAAAGCTCTTACAGGGATGCGGAGGCCATGAGTTCAAGCATTCAGATTTTCAATCGTTGACGCACGTGGGGTTTGCAGCCGCTATTTCACTTTGGTCTTGATGGTGGGCCGCGGAACCCAACACTACAACGTCAGGACTCTAGGTGGACAGCCTGGACATTGATTGTTGCCTTGGAAATGGCATGTGAGTGAGGGCCCAACATCTAAGGGATTTGCTCCAAGACATGTTGTTTCACTTTACCGAGAGGGCTTGGTACTTAGGATGGGCTTTTGCTGTCCCATCAACACCTGTGGAGTAGCTATCAGTACCAAGTGATACTCTCTTTTTTTGTCTTGATTAGCACTTTAGAGAGAAAATCCTGTTGGCTTCTGCAGCAAAGAGGTCTATGATGAGATGTACAAGGAGACGGATAACAGCGTGTCTTCACAGGAGCCTCTTCTTTAAGGCGCTTAGTTCTACCATTGCTCATTGCTGTTCTTTTGGTAGGTGTGTCGGATGTTTTGGCTCAATCTGTATCCGCCTTCTATGGGTATGCAGGGCCTATCACCGTAAGCGTGGTAACGCTTAGGAACACGTTGTTCCAGAGGCTGAAGGTTGTGGGTTTCAGGCACATGAAAGCGTTGTTAGCTGCTAGCCCCAAGAACTTCACTTTGTCCAACTCGAGTGAGGGCAGTTCGTTTCAGCTGCCAGCCCAAGACCCTTCCAGAGGTTCAAAGCTGAGAACCTTCTGGCCCATCATGCCAGAACGACACAGCCGCATAGTCTAAAGTGAGCTTCATCCAGCGAACCAGAGGTTCGTTGTCCCTGCTACGCTGGTCGGTGTTTCATCCCAGCGTGCTTGCCTGCCAAGTGCAGAAAGGTTGGAGCGGGCCAAGACCGTCCCCAGATCAAGACAAAAAGCTTTCATGGTGCACCTTGCCCAGCGCCAAGACCCAAAACAACTTGCGTCTATTGGACAGCCCTTTGCTGGAAGTGTTTGCCAGGGCAACAAAACCGACGCGCAGGGAATTTACAGCGGGTGAGAAGCTACCCTTTGGCAACAGACGTGCCCAGTCGCAAGCCGCACAATTTGTAGGAGCTTCTTGCACGCGTGCAAGGCGACTCGGACAGGACAGAAAACCACATGATGTACAGCAACGAGAGCCCTCTGCGAGCAACTGCCGCATGGGCCCTTCTCTACAGAAAAGGGCTTCTCCAATCCAGGGTTATGATGCGTCCGCATAAGTTCCGCATAGGCGCTTTCTTTCGCTTGTATGTGGTATATATGTTTAATTATGTATGAAAGTGTCTTCTCAAAAAGCGCAGGACGCTTATGACATGGGGTGCCTCAATATTACGTGGTAAGTCACAGAAGATGGTTTCTCTTCAAATCATGGGAGTTTGCCAAGCAATCCCTCATATCAGTCCAAAGACGGATGCCAGAATCCCTGCGGGTTCACCACATATCCCTAGCATCACATCACAATCAAAAGGCCCCTACGTTTAGAAACGTCCAGACCACCTAGGCAGGGACCCGACAATTTTCATCTGTCAAGCTTCGAAAAAGTTGCTTCTCAGCTCAAAACGTTATCGTCCTTGTACAGCTGTGATGCAGTATACCCTGAACTCCTGTTAGAATTAAATCGACCCCACAGTATCTCTCAAGCCCTTAACTTCACATTGACATTGACATGCGGAAGCCCAAGAATCGCCGAGACCTTGGCCTTCAAATCCTGAAATCCTGCACCTCAAGCACACTACCTGCGACCCTAGGCCTATCCGTAAACTTTGTAACTGCAGGATCCGACCTTGAACTGGAGTGGTTACACGGACACCTACTCGCGCCGGCCTCACATCGAGCCCGTGATTAAGGAGTGGGTGGAGTGGAGCTGTGAGCAGGCCCGGATCTTGACACAAAAGATGATTGTGGTAACAAAAGATGGTTGTGGCTTCTTCTGGGAATGCACAGGAAAGTGGGAACTATCCTGCTGTTGCTGTTGCTGCTGCTGTTGCTGTTGCTGTTGCTGTTGTTGTTGTGGTGGGTTTCGGGCTTAGAATGAGAGAAGGGATCCTTATGGTAGTCCCTATTTTGTATTAACAGTCCTTGTAGCAATTCCTTGGTTTCCCTACTAAGCACCGAGGAGTTGTAGGGACTTTTGGGTGTAGGGTTCAGGGTCCAGAGTTAAGTGTGCTAGGCTCAGGGTTAAGGATGTCGGGTGCTTTTTGCAAGAAGTGGAGGGGCTTACCAGAGGAGCATTTGTTTACCTGGGTGTTTGTTGTTTCTATGGGTTCCGAAGATTTTTGGCCTCCTGTATGGTTTACTGCCTCAAGTACTTTTTTTTGGCTTTGGCCTGGGGGGCATTATGAAGGCTTTGGGACAGGAAGCGTACTTCAAAGCTTTCGAAAGGGTTTTGGAAGTTTTTATTCCTCTTCCGGAGTTTTCTGCAGGAAATGTTGGCTCGACTGGATCTAGTTGACGTTCTACGTGTGATTCGCTTCACAGGGTGACTTCGCAAGCAGCTTCCCCAAGGCGATGCAACAAACATGTTGGTGTTTCAAGCCTTCTGGGAATTTGTCACTTCGTTGGGGTTGGTGCGGGGATGAATGCAGGAATTGCAGAAGCCGCATCCAATTCTGTGCAGCGATGCTGAGGCATGTGGAGTCAGCAAGGAATGTCATCGCAGCAATTCTAAAGTACCGGACATGATTCCAATGCGTAGTGGAACTCTTCGTGGCAATGCCGCACTAGTTTAACGCGAATATCTGTGAGTTAGCAGCGTGGAAAGCAAAGTTGCAATGATAGGCCGCATAGGCCATGGATATGGTAACGATCGCAGTGAGCTTTGGCCATGAAAAGAGCACAACGTAAGCGGTGCAACAACAGCAGCCGCCACAACCATTTAGCCGTGCAGGTTCACACATTGAATCTTCCAGGGTGGATGCTCATTCTTCCAAGGCCGAACGCCTAAACCCTCAGCCCCTGACTTGGAAGCTTCTACCCACACACCCTAAATGGTAATCAGAAGGCGGCGAGAGAGCGAGAGTTCCGAATTCAGGTCTCCGTTCATTCGCACCTCTGCAGCGAGGCGGTTATACTAGACATTTCATCTTCCATGGTTGGGGGTTTTGCGGTTTGTGGACTTTGGTATGGAGATTTGAGGGATTTCGGGTTCCATTTTCAGGTATATGTTTTAGGCCTTTGTCTTTCGGCCGCTATGGCCTTTTGAAGTGGGATAGCTTGGAGATTGTAGGAGCCAAGTACATGGACATGAGCAGGGACATGAGAGCTTATGATCCTGTTGGACCCCTTGTTGTTTCAGACTGCTGCTTTTTAACACTAGGCTAGAGGCGCCTTAGGTGTTCGAGGTTTAGAGTTTAGAATGGGTGAGCCGAGAGCAGCCAGGGAAAGAGTCGATTCTTGGAGTACCAAGGTCAAAGGCCTAGAGTTTTGCCTTTCTTGATTGATCGAGGCTTGATGGTGGGGGTTTTGTATGGGCCTTGTACTCTGCAACCCGAAGTCCTCAGGCCTAAACCCTTAAAACCCCCAAGGGATGTGTCATCCACTCCGCCCAAGACGTGTTGGGCCAGCAATACCATCACATCCCATAGATTACCTTGTGTGATCCCTCATCTACTGCCTTGTAGTAGTGTCTCCGCACTAATGTGGAATCGCAGCTAGCCACATCTTAAGGGACAGTTTGTCATTACAGGGGTGCATTTGGTTTTGGGTTCCATGTTGTTTTAGAGCCTTTCATATTGTGATCATATACCGATATTGATGGGTGGAGGGGCCAACAAGTTCTGGGATCCATCATGCTTCAGGCGAGGGATTTCAGACTTTCTGTCATGGCCAGCAAGTAGTGTCTAGGATCTAGCGTCCTAGTAGTCCCTATAGAATTCTTCTTCAATAATCATCATTACATCCTTTTCCTTCATTCCCTGCTAAGCACAAATGCCTACAACCCGCGAGTCTGGGGCTGTACCAGTCTTTACCATTCTGCATGTGCGTCATTTGCGGAAATTTGGACTCAGAGCTAGCATCAACACAGGCACGGATCCGACTCGAAAGTAGCAAGTGGGGCTGACATGACCATATCCCGTAGTTCGGATCACTGCATAGCTCCCAGAGCGTATGACCCTAATTCCAGGGACGGCCCCGAAAAACCGAAGCAAAATCGTTTGCATCTGCAGAAACTTGAAAAATATTATTCCCTTCGCGCCATTTTTGACGCCGCTACCGCACCTGACAGGATGTGGTCTGCAGAAAGGGTAAGCCAACGATCACTGAGCTGGGATGCGGTGCCTCGCTTCTGGTTTAGGCTTTAGGCATTTGAGCTTAGGGACTAGGACAGACCGCAGAAATGTTGAAACGCAATGATGATGGTAAGAAGTTGGGATCCATGAAGGCAATCAGAGGGCATGGTCATGGCAGTTGTGAGAGGACTCCCTGGAATGAGAGAATGGGCCGGGAATGGGTCACAGGGATGATTGCAGGGGACATTTATATAAGGCTGTAGGACTGGATTCCTCCATTCCCTACGAAAGGCTACTACTCATGCTAAGGGAAAAAGAATTGACGCAGCCACTAGTACCGATAGGAGGGACAGGAACCAGTAGTAGTAGTAGTAGTAGTAGTAGTAGTAGTAGTAGTAGTAGTAGTACAGTAGTAGTAGTAGTGGTAGTAGTAGTAGTCGTCGTCGTGGTGGTGGTGGTGGTGGTAGTCGTCGTCGTCGTCGTCAGTAGTTGTAGTAGTAGTAGTAGTAGTACTAGTGGCAGTGGCAGTGGCAGTGGCAGTGGCAGTGGCAGTGGTGGTGGTGGTGGTGGTGGTGGTGGTGGTGGTGGTGGTGGTGGTGGTGGTGCTGCTGGCGGCGGGGGTGGTGGTGGTGGTGGTGGTTGTGGTGGTGGTGGTGGTGGTGGTGGTGGTGCTGGCGGCGGGGTTGGTGGTGGTGGTGGTGGTGGTGGTGGTGGTGGTGGTGGTGGTGGTCGTAGTAGTAGTAGTAGTAGTAGTAGTAGTGAGGCAAAGATGCGTTGAACAACTTGCAGAATGGTGTTCCGAAAGGGAGAGGGATAGAAGGGAGGAGCACCTATCCAGGGTTGCCCGTGGCATACCGGCCCCTTCCACATACACCCCGCTCTACGCCGGAACACCGCCAAGAGCTGTATCAACACGCGACACCGCCGAAGCCGACACCATCGCAACTGCCCACTCGCACCGAACCGAACAAGGATACGAGACACCACCAAGGACCACCAAAGCAAGCACGCCGTTGCCTCCCAAAAGAAGACGCAAAGCAAAAGGGCGCGTGCAGGAGCAAGGAGAGCATAACGAAGCTACATCCACGGAGGTGGCCGAATCTGAGCTTGGTTTGCTTGATCGCATGGATTGAGGGTAGCTGCGCCCACCACTCAATACGGGATGCGGACATCTCCCAGTGCCACGGCCTCAGCCCGACTTCTAGACTGGAACCACAATATAAAAGGGTTATTGCAAAACACAACTTGAATATCCCTATGCTTGAGCAGGACTGCAGACATGTTGCTGACAGGCAAAACCCGCATATTGTGCCACTGCCCTATTGGGAGCCCCAAGGCCCCAGGAAAAGGTGTCCGGTCTCATCAGGTGTTCCGCAGAATCTGTTACCCCCGTGCTCGCAGAGTAAGCGCCCCCGCAAACCACACAACATAGATCTGCAGATGACCTACTCTGATCCTAAGACTGCCCCCCCCCCGCACCATCTCTCAGGCGCGCAGTCAACACGAGTGCAGACCTCCGAACATCTCGACCAGTCCTACTGCAAGGAGCACCAGCACATGTCTGCATGAACTCCCGCAGTGCTGCATGTTGTTCTGCCTGCACCACACGTCATGTCAGTGCGGAATGCCGTCAGTGCCGCCATAATGCAAGGCAGCCAGAGCTTAACCATGTGTGCGCAGAAGGCACGATGCCCAAGCCAAGTGAAGAGCCACTACCCCGTGAAGGGGAGCCAAAGGCAAGGGCGCAGCAGCAGCCCAGGTCGCGCTATCGCGCCGATGGTAGGCGCCGCCGGACCGCTGGAGAGCTGAAGAAGCGGGCACCCTACGTCCAGTACGAAAGATGTGCAGTCAGAGAAGGAACAATGATGGGGAGCCAGCCTCCTCGTCAAGCCAAAGGGGACCACAGCACTTCCGCATCCACACGGATGAAGATCCATCTGACTCCCAGAATGGGAGACCTGCCGAGGAGGAGGACCCAAGCTGGGACAGGGAGCCAAAGTCTGGCCCCTGGAAATCCTGGTCTCAGCGGGACTGGTGCGAGGAGCACTGGGCGGATGGTGACCGCCGAAGCTGGAAACACCCCACATCAAGCTCTGCCTGGGAGATCGAGTGGGAGCAGTGGGAGGCGGATCAGCACAACGAAGAGGAGGACGAAGCCCAGGACGCAAGATGGAATCTGGTGAATCTCTCCTCAGACTCCTCCGTACACTGTTGGCCTAAGGGGCATTGTGGCGATGATGATGGTTTTTTCTCGGACTCCTCCGTTCATGGGCCTCGTGGAAAGACTCGGAACCACATGCAGCCGGCGAGCAAAAGGTCCCGAAGCGCAAGTCAGCGAGGAGTTCGTGAGAAGACAACAAGCAGCGGATCCACCGAAGGTGGCCCCTCGCTCCCGAAGCACGCAGGTCAGCGACGAGTTCGTTAAAAACCAACAAGCAGCGGATCCACCTCAGGTGGCCCCTCCGGATGACCTCTGCAAAGACCAAATGGCGAGGCTGGATACAGTTGTCGGGCTGCTGGAGCAGCTGGCAAAAGCTGGCCTCCCGACACTGCTCGGCACCTTCTACAGGTCTGGTGGCTTCACCAAGTACCACCAAACCTTCCACACTGATGAGTCCACTGCTGACTTCCCAAGAATGAAGAGGCCCTCGGCACCTTCATGGAGGCCTTTACGGTGTGCAATGCCAAGAAACAACCGAAGCCTGACTGGTACAACGTGTACCAACGGCTCGTGACCTTGCTCGACCAGATGATGGCCACCTGCGCTCAGACCACCTACGACGCCATGAAGTGGAAGATCAACCCGGCGGAGTTCATCCATGTGATCCGTGTACATGAGGGACGGCAGTCTCCGACAACTACTTTGTGGTCACGCCCCCGAAGCAGTCCACCTTCAGCCTTGGAGCCGGTACCGGAGACGCCAGCACCAACTCAGCTATGCTGGAGACGCCTGTCAATGTGGCAGCACCTCACCTCCTCCGTCCAGACCGGGCAGGCACCTCGCACTGGATGCGAAAGCATGGCGTCCCGAAACGGATCAACAGAGCAAAGGAGATCTCCAAAGCGCTCACACAAGTCCTCCGCCATGCCGCGCCCAGGCTTGGCATCAAGATGCAGGAAGATGGATATGTGGATACGGGCGCCCTTCTGCGGGCCCCACGATTCTGGAGGCAGTGGATAACTGAGGCGGAGGTCATCGATGTGATCCACCACAACCAAAAGAGTCGCTTTGAAGTCCAGCCAAAGGACGGCACCTACTTGGCAAGTACTATGACTTTTATGAGAGCATATTGCGCCTGGGCCTAGTGGCCGGGGGACAGCAAGGGCAGTCCTTCCGCCGCCGCGTCCACATGGTGGAGGAACTTGCGTGGGAGGGTGCCATCTCAGGCATGCGCAGTGACTGTGACCCAGCCATCTGGATCAACACGCGCGAGGCTGCGGCGGCTGGTGTCAAGTTCTACCGGTCGGCCAACGCGGTCCTCCTTACGGACGCCGCTATTGATCCGGCCTTTTTTCACAGCATTCAAATCCTGCAGAGCGCAGAGGTGTTGACTGCCGATGGCGGTCCACCTAACCCGCAGCAAGTTGCAATAGCCATCTACCGTGCATCAGCAAGCGACACACGGAGCAGTGAGCAATACATGGCCCTCTGCCTGCCAAGTGCATGTCAAGCCACTCCCTGAGTGCATGCGATAAGCCTGCCCATTTGTTTGCGCCGCAGGACTCGATGCGCCGACTCCATGGACCCAGGCCGAATCACCAAACGAATTTTGGACTTAGGGGGTAAAGTACCGGATCGAGGTAGACATATAAAGATAAGTGTGCCGCCAAGCCCTAGAAGAAGCAGACGCAGGTCCGCACGTCGCTTGTTCAGTGGCCCTTTGTGGGCCACTCGTGGCTCATTCCGCACCTGCTGGACAATGCCCACCCAAGCGTGGAGCCACAGAGTGCAGAGCCATGCGACCGGTCGGTCCAAGCATGCGCGCGTGAATTCTAGGATGACACGGGTACCCAACAAACTTAGGAGAATAAAGAGCTCCTCGTCCAAGCGCGTTTACAAAAGCCCTAGGCGCAGGCAGCAACAGGCTAAGAGGCAGTTCCGCAGAAGCCATGCCAACATTGCAGCCATCAGAGTTTACACTGCTTGTACCGGTGTATAGACAACGCTGTGCTCTGTCTTGAAAGCCTCCTGATTGCATGTGTCAAAGCCAGCTTTCACCTGGCGGTCCAATGCTCAGTCCCTGGCACGAAAACTATCAGCAGTTCCGCTCCACACAAGCAAGCCCCAACAAGCAGATGCTGCAAGCCAAGACCGCGCAGCTGAGCCCCAAACAATACAGCCGTCCCGGTCCCAAGTCCGGGGTGAGGTTCTGGCTACGTCGATTCCTGATGCTTACGCTGATCGCCAGGCCTCATGGTGTGAGGGTTCCAACCCAAGCCGCATGGGTTGGGGAAGGCAACATATTTGCTAATCAAAGCCCAAATCAAGAGCTGAAGCATTGCGGCGTACAGCTATTTAATGTGCAAAATCAACTATCAACATTAAGTCGTTCCGTCAAGCGCTCATACAAGCGAGCCTGCAGAAGAGCTCACAGGTACGGACAGATCACGTATAAGGGAAGGATTCTTAAGGCCAACCAGTGTCAATATGTTGAACTGAGGGAGGGTAGACAGTATAGCCACACTGATCCCAATATGCGTCAACCCAGCAATGGGCTGCGTGTATTCTGCTACAATGCAGGTGGCCTTGGTGGCGGGATGTATGAAGAGTTGCTACACTTCCTTGACAATTCCCATTACACGATTGCTCTTATACAAGAGTCCAAGTGGAGCCATGACTCGGAATACAGCGCGACCAACTGGATCTGCGTTGGTTCCGTTGACCCCAAACAAAAACATGCTGGCGTCATGGTTTGGGTCCGAAAAGCACTTACCAATCCCAATGAGGTCAAGTACGAGGCCTCTGTCCCAGGTCGTATATTAAGAGTCAGATTTCCCCTAGGACAGCAATACATAAGCGCCATCTGTGTTTACCAGCACGCCTG